TAAAATGAAAACAGACAAAGTTTGGTTCAGATCAGATTAGGGAATATTAAATTATGGGACAGCAAAGTTGGAAAAATTTTGTGCACGTTCTTATGGGAATGTCTCCCTAATGACCCATTAGCGGTAATTATAAATACTTTTACATGCACCTCTCACTCTAACACTAATGGGGCAGTGGTACATTTTGAGGCCCAAAAGTTAAACTTTATCAGTGCATGCATTCTCCAAAAAGGGAAGTGCCTATTTCTGCCAAACAAGTGTCAACGTTAGAAGTCTACCTTTGTTTCGAGTTCCAAATACTTTTATTCCATTGTAGCCAAATGTAGCGCATGCAGGTACACGTAGATTATCAAGGGCATAGCTTGGCCCTGCACGTTGCACTTCACACAAAGGATATTGGTGAAATAATGCTCCTGTGCAGTGGACAAGTCCTTGGAGAGCAGTGATTAGGGGTTATACACACCTGAGTCCAGCACACATCTCTGCTGTTATTACCACCGGGACATGGGTAAAGTACGGTACCCTATATGCAAGCCACTGAATGGCATCTAGGGGCTAGAGTACTGTTTTTTTCAGTAGCTGTTTGTGTAAATTTGTGTGTTGTTCACCAGCATAGCGATATATTTTGCAGTGGAATGAGTGTACAAGGCCATGGTATATATACTGGTTGTTTATTCATTGATGCAATTTACAGGTGTTAAGAAATACCGTGCACAAATTACAGCTCAAGGAATCTCGAGGGCTGCTTTATCAGTAGTGGGAGTGTAAGCAAATATTATTAAATAATATTAATTAAAATTTAAACTTGATAAAACTGGGTCTTTTGAGATGTTGTGCCCAATTTTGAAAGGAACTTTGCCCACATTTTCCCGTTATTGATTTCTGAGTGGTCTGCATCAGTTGCTTCCAAGAAGATTGGCTCTGTGCGGAGAGTGCGAGTCAGAGTAAATCTCAGAGAACAGCAAGGAGGGATCCACAACTGAGTTTTTTTGGGGTACAAAACTTGTTTTGGTGCCCCCCCAAAAATTCACGCTAAAGTGGGGGGGGGGGTTGACTGGATGTCGGCCATATACATGTGCATAATTATAATTACATCAGGATATGCATGTGTACGCTACCAAAAGAAGAAAAAATATTATAAACAGAATCAGTTGTGCTCCTTTGCTCCTGGTTTAAACCATGGAGGAATGTTCAGCAGCAAGGAGTGGCGAGTCGGATCATCATTTATTTCTTTAGGTCTATCCTTTTCCGTGTATTTCGGCCAAGTTGCACTTTCCGATGTACTGTCGTCGTTAGCGGCATTTTCTCATGGCATAAAGAGGGACCTGATAACAGCCATGTCCCAAACCCGGAGAAACAATGGGTGTTTGTACTAATTTAAAAAGATGACCAGGGGCCTTATTTGTTGCGCACCTCGTTGAGCTTCTGCAAACAAGGGTATGGGCCAAGGGCACTGGTCTCCCACCAATGAAAAGCACAGAGTGGAGGCCTAAGTGGGGCTAAACCAAATGATAATCACCATTTAAAATGACCATGATAAAAGACTGTCTTGTTATCTCATTTCAATTTAGATTCTTTGGCAATCAGGCCTAATCAAATATCATTATCCTTTTTCAAGCAACCCTTGACCACACTGACCTTTTTTGTGAATTATTTCCGCCTCAACGTACAAGAATGTTGCGGAATAAACCATTTATCCCTGAAATCCGTAGACGAACAGAACGTTATTTCACCAGTGCGCTTCCTACCTTAATCCGGTTGCATAACAGACATGGGAAGGAATGCCCCTCTAATAGATTAGTTCTCTTGGTAGAAACATTTGGATTGTGCTCCTCTTAAGAAATGCCCTCTATTAAATGTTTTTTTTTTATATGGGAGTGAAATTTTAAAGGTTAGATGTGACTGAATTTTTAAGATCACAATAATTTCATCTTTGAAGTGTAAATTGCAGCGGATGTTTTTTAGTAGTGTTCTTATATGCGTGTTGGTCATTAGTCATGTTATATGTTTTATTTTTTGTGAGGGTAAACTGTATTTTTTGTAATCATTGAATTATGATTTTATAAAAAATTCTTATTTTAATTGCTTAATCTTTTTTTATTATTTGATTGTTAAATCCACTCTAATTCAGTTTTTTTAACTGTGAAAATGGATTTTTTTTAATAAACCAATATGAAAAAAATGAAATGAAATGAAACAGCCTGTAAAACCTGCACTGCAAGAAACATTGAACAAATCATTGGCCCTGGTTGACACCCCCATCTACTCTTATCCACATAAAGGGGGAGCTGATTCTATGGCTCATATGCCCCCCCTCCCCCGTTTAAAACTTGTGTGTAGGGGGGATGTAGGGCTTACCCCCTTCCCTGGGATTTACACCCATGGCCTACTCTGCCATTGTTGTTTGCAGCATTGTTCATTTGACCGGCTCCCACAAAATGAGTCTTAAGACCGTTTTAAAGAAACAATTTTATGTTTTAGTTTGCATTAAAAAGAGCAAAGTGATTGTTTTGATGCATCACTCAGTTTGGCATGCTGCGAGAAATCATTTTCTCTGGGTGAAAAATGTTCAGGGTTCCCTTGTTGGTTACATATGCGAACATACATGTTCTTTATTCAACTTATTCAAGAAATTGGAAAACAAGTGAGGAGAAATGATGAACTAAATCATGAACAAATGTTTTCAAGGTTTGTATGTTTTGCACAAGCACATTTCAAGCTGACAGTGTGTGCCATTTTGCGTAGTCTGGGCTTCTGTATAAATGTCAGACCTTGAACCTGCTCAGTACAGTTGTCTGAAGCCGTTCTCAGGTTAGCAATCTGGCGCCACCTTGTGTTTAGACAAGCTTGGGGCTCTGTTCAAGCCACAGACCTACACATGTATAAGGCACATGGTGTCGTACGCCACAGATGTGTGTACAGTTATTGTGTTCTCCCAACCGTCAACATATGGGGAGTTTTTTGTTATTTTAAAAAGCTGAGACTGAACATAAAGAATTAAAGTAAATGTTGTTTCAATTTCTTAATACCTTCGATGGAAAGATTATTAAAAACAAGTCAAAAGAAAATTTGCAAGTGTACATTGCAGAATGCAGCTATATAAAAATTTTGAAATGTGTAAAAGGGCTTCTTCACTTATTTTGTTTGGGTTTGCAAGGAAACTGAGAGAAATAGATAAAATTTGATGTAAAAACTACATTTTGTCACATATATAATGACACTGTTTTGGTCTGTTGTGGAAAAATTGTCATGGAGAGTTTTCATTCAGCTGTCTAAAGTTGCCATTGCATCTCCATTCATGTATTTCTTTGGCAGGTCCTTTAAAAATACTGATGCTTTGCAGTAACTTGATGAAATACATACCTCTGAAGAAATACAGTCATACCACTGGCCCCTCAAACAATAACTCAATTTGGTCTAGTGAGTATTTCAACCACTGAGCAACTGTTTATGCCTCATTTAAAACCATTTCTGAGTGTTGTGGTTACAAACTGAAGTCCTGATTTATATGCTGCTGATTTGTGACATTGTCGACCAGGGTGATTGTCCAATGAAAAGCTGAAAAAAAATTTCATTCAATAAAGGTTCAATTTTGAACGGTCCTCAAGCAACCTTTAAGATGGGTCTTATTGGTATTCAAGAAAAAAAAACTAATTTTCTTTTTATTAAAATTTACGAGTATCTTATGATTGAGGTGAAATGTTCCCATCTCCCCTCTTTTTGACTGATACATCATGTGGAATAAATGCGCAATTTAATTCCCGCCATGGGGGATATATTGAGGCAGTAGATGCTACAAGTAACATTGGGAGACTATTCCATTATTGGTTTGGTTCATCGGGGTGTGTCATGTCCATGTCTTTCTGACAATTAAGCCCCCCCCCCTAGTTGCCTCTCACACAAGTGCTTAATGCTGGCCGGAAGCCAAATGAGAAAGCAGTGATGCACGTGTGCAGGAGTAGAGACTCGATCTTGTGCGCCTTTCCTGCCTGTGTAAAAATCCCTACGCAGAGGTGTATACGTGGGAGCTGTAATGGACTAATTCCTTCACGGTGCGGTGGGCAGCACACAACTGTGTCAGCAACAGCACCAGCAGCACACAATTAAACGCGGGAGCATATATAACTAAGCCCTCTAACGCCAACTGAAGTGAAAACATTTCAAGCATATGGTTGACGGCTAGCTGTGTGCCAAACTGTTAATTTAGTGGTCAGAACAATTGATTGGCCTTTGGAGTGGAGTTGACAATGAGATTGGAGGCCTTTGAATGAAAGGGGTATGTGTGGAGCTGCCTTGGTACGTATGTTTACCGAGTTGTGTACGAGTAGATGCCATAATGCAGACTGCTGTGTTTGGAAGGATAATTGCCGTTTGGATTGGCGATTTTTATCATGGGCTCAATTTGACGTTTGAGGCTCTATGAGAGGACTCTGTAAATGCGCCGTGCTGTCAGCGATCGTAATCTGTGTACATAACTTGGCCTGTGAATTGCGTAGCGTGGGACTTGCCTTCAGAAATCGGTCCAGTTGATTCCAGCGTGCACGCCAGCAGAGAGGGATTTCTCCTTTCTCTCTCTCTCTCGCTCTCTCCCCTTTGCTGAGATATTTGCTGATGATTTGTGTACGACATAGTTGACATGTTGACTCGGTCTGCTAGTTGTTCAAAGGTTGACTCCGTTTCAGTCATTTGGTTACAATGTGAATCTTATGGCCAGCAGACAGGCCCAATGGATTTCTTCTGTCGGAAAGCATCTGCTGAATTCAGGTATAGTTACATTTGTATCATTCTAGACATTGCAGTTTAAAGGAGTTCTGAAGCCCATTTTGTTTCAACATGAGATATATTAAAAAGTCGAGGGTCCTTCCACAGGTTGCATTTTGCAATGAGGGGGGGGTTAAATTGTCTCAACATTTTGGATGTTACCCTGTCAGGTCTTATAGTATGAATGACATCTCTACCTTCCAATGAATACTTCTTCTCCAGTTATATTTGAGCCCGAGACAACCAGTTTAGTTCAATTGAGTTATGATTTCCATTGTCTCTATCTTCATTTCTAGTTTAGGGGGAACTTCCAAATGGAACTTTGTGCAACTACATACACATGTATCTTCAGATTTATTGAATCCTCTGAATGTTCTGTATCTGACATTTTGAGTCCTTAGAAAGAAAAAGACTTTTTTGGTTTTTGTAAGAACAGCATGCTTAGCGGTAAAAAATGGTGGATACATGGATGTTTGGACACAATTACAGAAAGCACTCATACCCCTACAAATTGTATTTTCTGTTTGTTTTCATTGTATGTTAACATTCAAGTATGCAAAAAGTTGCAATTATTCACAAAGATTAAATCCAAACTACATGTAGTAAACTGTTGTCATCAAAATATGACTGTATTGCTTTCATTGTATTGACTGCTTGAGACTAGTTAAGCAGATTTTTGTCATAAAAATCCCAAAATAACTATGACTTTTGATAGAATAACAAACTATCAACAAATTCTATTTTTCAAATAATGATCTCTATTTTTGGTTGCTTACAATATGAGAATGTAACCAACACGTGCCAGTGTTCATCTTAAAATGTTGTTTGGACATATTGAGATTGAGAAGCAGGTGGTTAATTACCCCCCCCCCCAATTCAACCACAGAGAAAGTCTGGTTTTTAAGGTTCTGATCCTTTGGTTGCAAAATGCCACCCACAAATAAAAAAAATCCCTGTTTTGAAATCCTAGGATTTAGCCTGCTGTGTGCCATATTGGACACAAGTGCCTCAAGGCAGATGAAGGCAACAGTTTAACAGCTTCCCTAGAATTGTACGGGTAACCCACAACTCCTTTTGTGAGGTAGTCTGCTGTTGAAACCGTGGGAACATGTTTGCAGCCCCTTTCCATTGTAATTTAACATCCAGTAAAGCAAACAGAATTTTATAATTACTGCATTTTTGTTATTGAAATCGTCCTCTCACTTTTTCAACAAAACTTCTGTCACAACGTACATGTACATGTGCACTCCACCTTTGCTAATTTACATGTAGTAAAAATATATAGCCCAAATGCTACATGAGATTTTTTGGTTGATTGTTGCAGATGTAGCAGACTGATGTTTCTTCCACGTCTTATTCAGGCTAAGCTCATGCTTCTATTGGAATTGAAACATAAGGCCTCGTTTCAAGTGGTTGGTACAAAAAAGGAGAGTATCAAATGTGTGCATTATTCTGTTCTCTGCATCGTTACTTAAAGTTTGTGTACAGTTCGTGTGCACCAAACTGTTGAACAGAGCAAATGATACCTCGAATTAATGTATTTAGAGAACCGATTTTTAAGACCTTTAAGAGAGACAAGAAAAGTTTGAACTACGTTCAATACCCTTGAGCAAAAACGTGGAAAATAGTTACGATTTTTCATCACAGATTTTTAAATGGCATGTGAAAACCTCCAGAGTCCAGTGACTCTTTTAATTGATCAAAACAGCGATATTTCAACTTATTTCTAAGAAATGGAACTTTCTGCATCAGGAGATCAGACTTGTTTCCATAAAATCTCTCAGTGCAGAGTTGCGCTCTGCACACCATCCGTGTAGGAGCGCATCTGTCGGTGGATTATTTTTCATTAAATTTTCAGATAATGACTAATTCAGTGTCATCCCTTTAAAGGGTGGGAAGGGGAAAAAACACGCTGAGGTGGGCATGATGAGTGTAGTGCTGGGGGGGGGGAAGGGGGAAGCTGACTGCAAGCCCCAAGGCCAGGATCTGGTTCGTCATCTTCTTGGCTTGTCAGGGCAGGTGGATGAGGAGGACGGTGCATGAAGAGGCGTCTGTTTTGGGGTGGGTGGTATTTAGTGTCTTCTCGCTAGTCAGACTGTCTCAGGCCCTGATATTCACCAATGATCTGCCCTCTCACTGCATCTGTCTCTCCAAGATTACATTTTATTCCCTCCCTGGAAGATCATTCTAGGTTTTCGCTCCAGATTTATGCCGAGGAAAACTTGTTGCCAACAGGTTTTCGCCCCAAATTTATGCCGAGGAAAACTCGTTGCCAACATGCACTATGTACATGGACCTGTTTATTTCTATTAGCCCTGGATAAAATTTAGTGTTTTCATCCGTGATGTCAGTTCCCCACAAAGAAAAACCTCCAGGAGCGCATATTGCAGAAAAAAGGAAATAGCTTTGGTGTATAGTCATACTCCAAAATAGCTTAGTCGGGGAAATAGAATCAGGTGCATTCGAGTAGCCAGGTTTTTCTTTCCCATTGCAATAGAAAGTGTGTCCCTTTGGTGTTTATTTTAGGTATTGAAGAATTACCACAGAGGCTAGTCAGCAATGTTCAGCCCACTTCATTTAAAAATAACGTGGCCTTGATTTTTCCACTGTTACCATGGTCCCTTTTTGTGTTAATTGCTTATTGTGCTTGTTGTTACCATGGTGATCTCATAGAATATTCATGTGTGCAGAAATGCTCTTATGACTTGCCAGACATTGGCAGATCTATTAATGATCGACTGCCTCCAAAAAATGTGTCTGTGTTGTGGTTTTGTGTGACTAGAGCCAGGAATTTTATCATAAAGGGATTTCACATTAGTGCCGTCTGCGCGTATCTGCATCGAAACCGAGGCTCTCTGTGTTGAACTTCAGCGCGCGCACCCGCGGAGTCCACACAGGACATGGAGTATCCGGTTCGTAAGTGTGACACCACTTCAGTTTAAACCACACACCCACTGCACAAGATACACGACCATCGTAGGTACGTTAGTGCGTGGTCAATTGTCGTTATTTTTTCTTTTGATTTTACGTGTTGGGTCATCCTGAAAGACTCTTCCACAAAAATTTGCAGCCAGAAAAGTCTGAATTTAACATACCTTTATGTATTTTGTGTCTTGACTCCTTACTTTCAATCGTCTGATCATATTAAGAATTGAAGCTTATACATACAGCCTCGTTTTCAAATGCGGAAGTGCGCAGATCGACACTAAAAACGTCGTATTGGGATCCCTCTATTTTGTTGGTTTTGTGAAGCATCTCGGTCACATTTTGCTCTTTTTGCTTGTCTTTGAAAAATGAAAAAGAATACCATGTCATTTCTTTCAAACGTACACTGTGTGACTTTACAAGGTTGAATGTAGCCTGCTGTTAAATTTATTTCGTCAACAGGACAACAAAAAGTTTCGACAACAAAAAGTTAGTTTTTTCTCCAAGTTTTCTTAACTACACTAAAATAAAGGACTATCCGCACTACCATTCGCATGTATGTGTACATTTCCAGTTGAATTTTGTTTCTTGATTTTTAAAGAAATAGGTAGGTACCATGCCAACCCGTTTAGAAAATTCTAGTGTGACTTGAAATAATTTCTAATGCTGTCACTTTTCTTGAAGTTATTTTCATAAATGAGCAATAAAGTAAAAGGTGTCTGCCTGACTTTATTAGAAAAACCCTCACATTTCGTTTGCCAACGTGTGTCTGGTTTTCATCTGGCACATCACAAATTATTCTCACACCCTTCAGGCTTGCCGAAACTTTATGCCGCTCAGTTTCTATGAAATGGCAATGAGAAATGATCCACTTTCTGTACAATTGGATCATGATTTGTCATCAGAAAATGACTTGCAATATCAGACATCACAAGTTTACTTGTTCAAGTTTTTCATGGATAATGTGCCCGTGGATTCCATCTAAAAAGGAAAATTCTCACTCACACCATGATGCTGCTGTGTCCTGTCAGGTATCGATGGGATTTTAGTAAAATGGCAGCACCTTATGCTGGGCATAAATAATTACTTTATCTCTGACCCTATTGATTTTGGAACAAGGGCCGAGTAGCTGTGAGGGAATTTAAGCGATATGGATTAGTGCGGTTAATTAATGAACAAGTGCTGCTTTTGCTGTCGATAGCATCTCATTAACTCGTGTAAAAGAGACATCTGGCTTGTCTGAATGCATGGTGGGAAGGGGAAGAATTTCTAGACAGTACTGGTGCACTTCAGTTTCCGATTCTGCATAAAATTGCAGAAATCCTGTGAAAGGAGAAAACATACATGTATGTCAGATCATTTTCAAGTTGCATTTGTGTGCATTTCTCCAGTTGAAATACCGGAACCAAACTGGATGCTGCTCAGCCCTGTTGCCATTGTAAGGATTGTAGAAAGTGCTTTTTTGCCTTGTGTAATGTAAGAACCAAGTAAGGGTGCTTTCATAATGGCCACTGAGGGATTCCATGGTAGGGCACATTGCATACAGGCGTCAGTTTGCATGCTGTCCTGCAGAGAATGGGTTTGTAGTTTTCAGCATAATGTGCACAAACCATAGTATCCTTTGTAACCATAGTAACCATTGTTCGTGTACAGAGTCTTTAAGCCTGTTGGGACTGTCTAAAATGTGGGAGAAAAGAGCCTAACTTAGCAGTATGCTATTATTTAGTCTGCAGTTCTATTAAATGGTCAAAGCAAGATACCACTTAGCCTTGACCAAGGCGTTGGGCGAATCTGGGCTACAAATATACGCTGCGTGATGTGCACCTGTTCACTATGGTCTAGCCCGTGCACTGTGTATGTATGCATTTAGTGCATGCATGCCTTCTGCATGTGTGGTTTGCATGGTCACTGCCCGCATTCACGTGTACATGACACGGCACGAGCTCCAGCCCATAACCCAATGCCTTGATGGTTTTGTCCCTAGCCAGCAAAGCTCATTTTGTTGGTCAGTGCGCAATAGTGATCCTGCTCAATGAATAGATTTTTGCACCAACCACAAAGGAATGATGTAATGGTGGACCACTACCGTGGGTGCAAGTCTTTGAATTCTCAGTTTTTACTGCTGTATTATGGGCTCCCACGAATTCTTCATCAAGATTTTGTTGTGATGGGGTTCCCGTAGAGGGATCCCAATACGACACGTCGATCTGCGCACTTCCACGTTTGAAAATGAGGCTGTATGTGTCAGCTTCAACTCTTAATACGATCAGACGATTGAAAGTAAGGAGTCAAGACACAAAATACATAAAGGTATGTTAAATTCAGACTTTTCAGGCTGCAAATTTTTGGGGAAGAGTCTTTCAGGATGACTTGACACGTAAAATCAAAAGAAAAAATAACACAATTGACCGCGCACTAACGTACCTGCGATGGTCGTGTATCTTATGCAGTGGGCGTGGTTTAAAATGAAGTGGCGTCACACTTACGAACCGGATACTCCATGTACTGCGTGGACTCCGCGGGCTCACGCGACGAAGCTCAACACAGAGAGCCTCGGTTTCAATGCAGATATGCGCAGACGGCGCTAATGTGAAACCCCTCTGTTGTCCACAAGAAATCCTGTAAGCTCATTAAAAGTCAAAAAAGTTACAAGCATTCGCCCCCATAATTGTTTCATAACTGGACGCCATGTTACTATAGTGGACACATACACATTGTCACATGTTATTCAAGAGCTGGTGATTGACTTACTGAAATGAATCATTCATATTCTTGGAAAGCTTGTTTGATGTGAATGACTTAAGATAAGTTGTCAATATTCATATAAAGCATACCCAGATATCCAGAGACACCCCAAAATCGTCCAAAATTGGCTCGCTTGCCGTGAGTCCCTCATGTGAGGCCTGATAATCTCCCCTCGACAAAAGAGCATTGAGACCCCCTTTGACAAAGCAAAATACCATCGAGTCTTCCAGTGATTGCCTTCTCTACATTGTGCAAGTTGCTATGAAAACTCTAGACAAAGAGATGCAGCATTACTGCACAGCTCTTGGTGCTCTGATTCTATTACATGACATGCAGGTGTTTTGATAGCAAGACTATTCATACCTGTACGTGTTCAACCTAATTTCCCTTCCAAAATCAGTATATCTGTGCTGTTAAAACATCACAGACAAAGCGTAAACTCGTAAATGTAACATATAACTTTGAAAAAAGTCAAAATGTTGATCACTGTAACACACCAAACTCTGATAGTCAAGACGTATAACTGTTGTCCGTGCACAAGCTCAGCAATGCCCACACTTATGAAGTGGCAAACAATCGATTAGTCTGCAGACAGCCTCCCCCAGAGTAATTTCAATATCGCAGTATCACTAAGGAAGAACAAAGATGTAGGTAACCAGGCCCCCTATCAGGATACGTGTGTGATGGGGGATGTTTCTCTTGCCTGGTTTGTCATCGGAAATGGCTCTCATGGCAGGGAAGGTTTGAGTACAGTTCTGCGGTTTAGCGATTGTCACCGAGTGATTACCTTCATTGTTGCCCTAGCCATCAATCTTGTGGCCTGGGTAATTGTGCAAACACGCTTCCTTCGGGTCCTCTCTCTACGGTTCTTGATGTTTTCCAATTTTGTTGCGACTCAGTACCCACTGGCTTTTCTGTCCTTTTTATTTTGCACGTAGGTCCTCAGCCACGAGTCTGAAGTACACTCTGAAGGGTCACTGAGAAGTCACTGGGATTACTTGCCTTTTTTCTCTCCCGGTGACGGGTGGTTCTCTGGGATCACCATGTCAGCCAGCGATGCAACCGAGGAGGCCGAAATGCAACCTCTGAACCCGTCTGGTGCCAGCGGGGCATCGGGCGCCACCGACAGTGGCACGGAGGAGAAAGGGGGCAGCACCCCCAGCCCGGAGACGGCTGAGATGCCCCTGGTGGTGCGCTCCACCCGGCAGCGCGTGGGCTTCCTGATGGAGGAGGAAGAGGAGGACGAGCACAGTGAGCTGCGCAAGAAGGTCAAGCGGGAGTTTGCCAAGATGAACGGCCGCAGCAGCCACGAGCGGCTGCAGCAGCAGCGCATGAGCCTGCTGGGCAAGCCGCTGGCCTACAGACAGTCCAAACGGGACGCCAAGTTCCGCAAAGTGCAAACTAAGATCTACAACTTCTTGGAAAGACCGGCAGGATGGGTTGCCATCATCTATCACGTTTTTGTGTAAGTAGAACCAATCCTTCACCTTCTTTGTAGTGCCAACCTTTGTTTCCCCCTCCTTTAAATTCACTCTCTCCCCTTTCCATCTTATTCCACCTCAGCTTGTTAAGTGTTAATCGGTTTATCAACAAAAACACAGGGCAGCTGAGGAAGAAAAAAAAGTCCTCTTTGAAGAGCAGCCTGAGAAAACAACATCCTGTCTATTTTCTTTTGTTCTTTCACCTTTAAAAAAGTAATCAGTGATAAAAAAATTGATAAGTCAGTGCTGCATTTTGCATATTCGTTGTAGATACATTTTGACTTGCGGGCTTTTGTTGCATCTGACAACACATTTCATACTTACTGATAAATGCACGTTTTCACATATCAAATCAGAACAAAAGACTTAAACTTTGCACCCTCCATCAGAGTAGTCAACAAATGCCATTGGAGAAAAAAATCCTTGCAGCCAATGCACACTCAGTAGATGCAGAATCTAACCACATGAAATGTTGGGCGGTAGCAATAAAATGAACGAAAAAGAAAGAATCGGAAACAAATGCAGAGAAATGTCTTTATTGGTTTGTATTTTATCAGCACCAGTGGTAATTTTATGTCTGCTTGCTCCAGAAGATAAAATGATTCTGTCATTTGTTTTTATCTCAACTCTCAAGAAGATTAATTTTTAAAACAAAAATTGTCGTTGCCTTTTATGTCCATAAGAACTTCATGAGCTCGGTGCATTTTCTTCCTGAAGGAATTTCCATTTCAGATCAGCAGTATCTTTGTATTCAAGTTTTGTTCTGCTATAAAATGAGTTCCGTGGTAACGTTATACCACCCACAACATCCAATTAAGTTTTGGATGGATAGAGCCTACGCGCGAAGAAGCCCAGTAACAAATGCATTTATAGCCATGTTCATTTTGTCTAACCTGTACACGGCATCACTGTTATCAGATTATCCCCATGAACACTTCCATACTGTACAAGAAAATTGGTTGTTGTGGAGGTCGATACTCCCACATGTGCCCAGCAAAAAGTCCCCCCCCCCCGCTTGTTTCCAGCTGTAACTTACATTGTGGGTTGATCATCATTACAAGGGGGCAACAAATAAACCTCCAGAATGATGAATGTATTTTTAAAGATGAATTCAGCTTTGCAGGCACAAGCGGCCCTAAATGTCAACCAGCAATCGAAGCAGTAAGATGTAACACTGTAAATGGTTAATCAACAACCTGTTTGTGAAGTTGCTGTACTCAGGGCCCTCGGCGTGGTCAATCAATCATGCATTTTATCGCCGATTCAGTCCCTGTTTGTTTCGGGTTGTTAAAGGTTGATTCTTGGAAACCTTAGTCGTGACAGCAAACATTGATTGAACTCAAAACTTTTTATCCTATTACTTTAAGTGCTCTGTGTAGATGTGAGATAACTTTTCTCCCACAGAGTTGCAGTTTACAATCCGTGAACATCCCCGCTTCCTTTCACCCAATAATGACACTAAAAAGCTTCACAAGGGAATATTATGTCTTCAAACACCTCTAGTAGAAGTTTATGTAGAGGACTGTGTACCATTTAAATCGCCATGGCACTTTTTGCCACATGTATTGGTTCTAAGATTATCTTTCTTACATCCATTAACATCCATTGAGAATAAACATTTATCTTAATATTAAATATTAATATATTTGTAATTTAAGATTAATAACCATGGTGAACTGTAATCCTTTAAGTTTCTTATGTTTCTTTCCAGGCTTAGATCTTTTTCAAAATAAAAGTCAACCTTTTCTGCATATGCACTGAGTGTTTCCTTGAATTGGCAGCATGCCAAAACCCCCAGAAAATTAGAGAATGTTTTACACTGTAGCACTATTACTTATGCTGAGAACTTGGCTTTTATTCGTACGACTTCATATTAGGCTTGGATGACCGCACCATTTTTTTTTTTTGAAACCACGTACAAGAATCATTCTACTAACAGTGTATGCGATACTGCCTCCTTACGTCCATACATGAATAGTGGAGTTGCCTTAACTTGCCTTTGTGTTGCCATGTCGAACATCACCCGTGTAGAACAAAACCATTTGAAAAAATACACTTTCAGGTTTTGTTCCCAATAGACAGCCTCTGGTTTTTACATTTAGGCTTGAAAAAACTGCTGGATAGCCTTGCCAAGGTTTCACAAGTGAGAAATTGCTCAGATCTCTGCTATCCCCAGAAGACAGTCTCTCCAAAGTGATCAGTTTGGTAGTTGTAATGCATTAGTCCAACTTGAGATTAGTGCCAATGAGCCGTCCTTGGCCTAACGGTTATGCCAGTTGGATGTGAATGCCACTTGGATGTGAATCTTGCTTGCTGTTTTCAATTAGTTGAGGATTCCCAAAGCTGTTTCCCAGAAGGGAAGGGAAATAGGTTTCTCAGGTGATGGACAAAAGGAGGCTAGTATAAGATGCTTGAAGAATCTGTTACCAAGCAAATGACATTAAGAACAAAAACGTTCCTCATCCAATCCAAGCAGAAAATGAGCTGTATGTTGTTTGTGGCTTGTTCACAATGATAATCAGAATCACATACAGAATGTGCAGTGTGCAATGTGGAGCAGGGTGTGGCATACAGATCAAAGTGGCAGTGACACAGCAGAAAGGATTGCTGATAGAATTATGTGCTAAGCAAAAATTGGTCAGAAAACAGTAAGACACCAATACACATTGTGCACATATTTGGCAGGTAACCTGTTCTTTTCAAGCAAATGTTTTCTGTGCTTATCAAATATCTGTGCTTAGCAGCTCCTTGAAATTGACCTTTGTTTTGCAGAGTACATACAATTTTCATCTCAATGTGCACAAAGCTGTGTAGCATCTTTTATTAACCCTGGTTAATTGTCCATAGGTTTGCAGAGAGATTCAATTTTCATCTCAACATGCACAAAGCTATGTATGTAGCATCTTACCGGTACATTAACCCTGGTGAGCAGAATATGTTTTCATCTCAGTGTGTTCAAACTCATGTAGCATCTTAAACTGACCAATGGTTTGCAGGCTAAATGCAATTTTCATCTCAGTCGCACAAACCTGAATGGCATCTTTATGTTGGCTTCAGACACACAGCACCAATGGTATGCTCACTCTTTTTAATAATAATGGTCACTAATTATTAAAGAGGGTGCATATACAACCTGTGGATGTACACCATCATTCCATCACTTGTAATGTCAAAGTTGCGGGGCTGAATAGCTTATGACCTATAGTTGAAGAGTAATCATGGATGAAGCCTTGAACTCACAAATATTATATGTACGTGATGAATTGTATATTTTCTGAGGCCTGTGTGGTCAATGATATTATATGGTGCAGGGTGCAGATCTTTGGTTTTGAGGTTGAACAGAAATGTTCTTAGCTCATTTCAGCTTTTGTAGGCCCGAGACATACATGTATGTTGGCTCAGCAACAAACATGTACATACTTTCAGGTTACAAACAAATGATGTACGTGACACCACACAGTAATGAATAAACAAGATCAATTTAGACACCATAGCTGCCTGCTCTGAGGGCCCCCAAAAAACACTTTCCAGTTTGCTAAGGCAGAAGGCAGGGAATCTGGCACTTTCAAACTGATTCTTTGAGAAGCACTTTGGAGCACTTGAATTCAGCAGCTAAAAATGTATAGAAAGAAAAGAATGAGCATGTTTTGCAAGATTGCATTGAAAAAGTGCACTTTTCAGAGAAATGTAAAAGAGTTTCCATGCATTGAAGAAGAATACCAAGTCGAAGAAAAAAGTGTGCCTCAGAAAAATTTATTGCAGCTCCACTTTAAGCCAACAATTCTGTTTCAGCATCATATTGTAGACACGGTAACTGCCACTAATATCCGCCATCCTCTTGTGTGTCCAATTTCTGTTAGTCATAGTCCACCAAGAGCAGACTCTTCCAACAATGCAGTAGTCACAGCCTACTGACAAGTCTCTTTCTCCCTTAAAAAAAAAACTCCTGGCCAAGGGCCCACAAGGGCCATCAGACCGCCAACCGGACATTAACGTTAATTGCCCATTAAAACCTCTGTGGTATCGACAGTTGTGGCAATGCCAATTATCAAGGTGGAAAAGAAAAAAAAAAGGTACATATTAAAAAACGCCAGGGTAGCCTACTCTGACATGTTCGGGAGCATGGGCCAGAGACTGGCTGTGATAGCACCTGCCGGCGCAAACCGCAGTTTCATCAGAAAAACCGTAACACGAAGCCACCAAGTTGCCCCAGGATCCACCAAGTTTACCTTGGAATTGAGTCCTGACTTGTGTTTGGTTGTGCTGTATTCTCCCCTCCCCCCCTTCTCACTTGTCATTGCTGAGGGGTGCAGGATCGTTTATCATAAGGTCTTCTCTGACCAATCAGAATCAAGAGTGATGGGTACACTTTTTCTCTTTTATCTTTACATGTACATCCTTTTCCTTCTTGGGGAAATTTCTCAGAAAAATCGTCAGTTTAGATTTGCACAATCTTCTCAAGTGCACGCACGTTAAAGTTGAGATAGATCAAATGCATGTACCCACAGGTCTTTGAAATTCCTGTTGAGGCTTTTGCAGCATTGGCCTCGATGTCAGTGCCATGTGCTCTTTGTCCATTGTCACTTGCGGCCAAAGACACTGATTTATTCCATCTCAGTGCTCGTGCTGCAGCGTGTGGGCATCATTGCATTGCTTTTTAACGGGCATGTACATGTGTGAAATCAATCTTTTCTCTGAAAAGGAGCATATTAACCCACGCAAGTATCTCAACATCTGTGATGGGTTCTTTCAAGAAACATGCTGTGCATGTTCTCCAAGTCAAACATACCAGAAATTTTTGTCTGCCGCAAGGGGTGTGGTAGGACTTCCCATCAAACTACATTGCTTTACTTCTTACTGAAGATGACAACAGCCTTCAATGAATGAAGGGGAAGGTTGTTGTGCATCGCTCCTTCTGAGAATATGTAGTGCCAGTTCATGTCAAGCTCTAGAGATGTTATGGCATGCAAAATGCATGCAGCGG